GATCCCCGGTGCCGCCGCGGCCAGCGCCCGAATCCTGTCTCCCGCGCGGAGAAAGCTGCCAGCCGGAGCAGCCGGGGCCTTGTGCGACTCTGCCGCCGGCCCACCCACCCCCTCCGGCACACATACACAGACACACACACACGCGTCGCCCGGCCGAGGAGAGCCCAATGTCTGCAGGTTTCCTCAACCTTGCATCAAAGCTCCCTAGAGGGAGGCTGCCCGCGAGGGACGCCTTGCCCCTCGGCGCCTCATCGCTGCCCTTGCCTTTGGAGTCCAGCCCTCGTTTGCAGCCCACGAGGAAAGGAGGGCTTGGGCGACAGTGCAAGCCATTTGCTAAGCAGGGTAATTAATGGATGGGGATGGGGACTGAGCGCCGACCACCTCGCAAAAGAATCCGCAGAAGGGGAAATCTGGGGCTTTGGAATGTCGCCCAAACCGCCGAATTCTATGAGGAGCTGTGTGTTTCCCCGTGTGATTCAATCTGTAGGAAGAAAGCAAAAGGTGGATCTCTGAAATTAAGAAGGGAGCCTAATGATTTCATATGGTTTTGATGTGGGATTCTTGCAAAACCACCAGCAAATCATAGATCCCATCTATGTCTGCGGGCATAGATGGGATCTATGATCTGGTGGCGGTTTTGCAAGAATCCCACAGAAATCATGGATCCTCTGGCGCATGACTTTGCAGTGGTGCAAAAACATGGATCTGACACATGGATCCTCATGGATCCACATTATTTTTACTTAGGATCATTCCCAGTGATATGCACTAGCATCCCGATGATTCCCAGTGTGGTATAGTGGACAAAGTGATGGACTAGGGCCTTGGAGAACACGGTTTAAATCCTCACTTGGCCATGGAAACTCACTGGAGGATTAGACCTGGTAAAACCACTTTATTATATATTTTACTTACCTTGAAAGTCGGTTCAGACTTGACGGCAGAGAACATACACACATAATTCCCAAACTTCCGTCCAATCGTAGGTCCCATCTGTGCCCACAGACTCCACCACAAAAATCATGGGTCTTTCAGTGCATCGCATGCATCCAAGACAACATGCTCCTCATAGATCCACGTACTTTTTAAACCAGCATCAAGTCATAAATTGTATCTGTACACACAGACTACACCACAGAAATAATTTCCACTTTCTACTGTCCTTTGGAGGTGCAAACCTCTGTGCCCTTGGGCAAGCTGCATAGTCCCAGGGTGTCTGCAAAGAAAAAAGAGTAAAACATTGAATAAAGGTTAGCCATGTGGTCAAAACAAAATAAAATTCAAATGGAAAACTAGGTGATAACTTTATAGACCACTAAAAAAATCATACAATACACGAGCTTTCACAGCTTCATCAGGTTTGTACTAGTGTGAAGAACTTAAAAGTCCAAAAGTTCGTGGCAAGATAACAGGAAAGTTACTGTAAGTCAGGAAGTATATAGTTGCCGTTATAAAACTTCCTGACTTCCCAGACCACAGTCCCATTATAGCACCCTTTCATTTAAACAGGCACAATTACAATATTTCTTCATCTTTTGCTTCATGATATCAGCATGGGATAAGAAAATGGAGCTTAGGCACATATCTTCATGGATTCATCTGTTTTTTTCATTGTCATATATGCTAAATCACCACCTTAATCACCATCAGGTCATACATATCATGCATGTCACTAGACTAACCCATAAAAATTGCTCTCTGCATGGCATTGTCCTGCCACAAATACATGTATCAGAGGCATAGATCTGCATAGATCCATATGATGTTTACATGGGATCCTTCCCAAACCACCACAACTTGCATATCTCTTGCATATATGTACAATGATTTTTTAAAAAAAGCTCCTTAATTACAAATGTGCCATGGTACAACAACATAGAGAAGATAATCAAGGATCTACATGAATCTTATACAGGATACTTAATAAACCACCATAGTGAGGAATCCCATCTACGTCCACAGCCCAAAAAACAGAAATTGTGGATCTCTCGATGCATGATGTCAGCATTCTGCAAACACCTGGATCCGGCTCTGATTCTTACAGAACCAGACGACTACATGAATCCAAAGCACAGGTTTTTATTAATTCATGTGATTGTTGTATGGTGTTTCCATATAAGTACAGCTAAACTGTGGGCCCATGTATTTCGACAGAATGAAGGATTAGAAACACAGGCACTCAATGAACAGCATCTTCATGATGAAAAAATAATAATCTATGGCACAGATCGTCATGGACCACGAGTTTAAATTGGGATCGTTGCCAAACTGTCATCGAGTCATACATTCCTTCTCTGCCAATAGACTGAACTATCAAAATCCCAAATTGACAGATGACCCTAGTACCATGGCCCAGGAACATGGGTCTTGGGCAAACATTATTGTGGGCCAACATATTTTTATGCAGCACTCATGATCACCTTTATAATCAAATAGTTTACCACAGACACCAGAGCGGGAAGAAAAATTAGATCTATGGCAATAATCTTCTTGGATCCTCTTTATTTCTTTGAAGGGGGCACCCATAAACATGCTGAATCACTGAACACTTATCTGCCAATAGAGTCTGCGATGATTTGATGTAAAAATCATGTGAATGCATGAGGATCTGTGCCTTGGATCCATACTTTTGCAACACTGTAAAACCATGCACTGAAGAAGCCATAATTTCTGCATTGTAGTGTGTGATCTTGGATCCTCTTTATTTCTTTGAAGGGGGCACCCATAAACATGCTGAATCACTGAACACTTATCTGCCAATAGAGTCTGCGATGATTTGATGTAAAAATCATGTGAATGCATGAGGATCTGTGCCTTGGATCCATACTTTTGCAACACTGTAAAACCATGCACTGAAGAAGCCATAATTTCTGCATTGTAGTGTGTGAGTACAGATGGTGTGCCTTGGATCCATACTTTTGCAACACCATGCATTGAAGAACCCATGATTTCTGCATTGTAGTGTGTGGGTACAGATGGAGCCTATGACTGGACAGTAGTTTCAGGATGATCCTACTTAAAAATCATGTGGATCCATGAGGACCTGCGCCTTGGACTGGTGTTTTTACACCATTGCAAAACCATGCACTGAAGAACCCATGATTCTGTTTTTTAGTCAGTGGGCATAGATGGGATCTATGATTTTATGGTGATTTGGCTAGGATCTCACAAAAGATCATATACTGCTATGATTTGATGGTGATTTGGCTAGGATCTCACAAAAAATCATATAAAATCATCAGGATCCATTCTTGATTTCATGAATCTGCCTTTTACTTAGATCCCAATCTGTATCCCAGATCCAAATCAATTTATAAGCCTCCTACAGAGTTGCATTAAAAAAACAAAATAGCTTTTGCTTTTGCACTGATGTACATGAAACTTAGGGGATGTGGTGGTGCTGCAGGTTAAACTACAGAAGCCTCTGTGCTGCACGGTCGGAAGACCAGCAGCCATAAGATCGAATCCACATGACGGAGTGAGCTCCCGTCGCTAGTCCCAGCTCCTGCCAATCTAGCAGTTCGAAAGCATGTAAAAATGTGAGTAGATAAATACCGTAGGTATCACCTCGGTGGGAAGGCAACAGTGTTCCATGTCTAGTCCGCTGACCATGTGACCACGGAAATGTCTAGTCGCACTGACCATGTGACCACGGACATGAAGGCTAGACAAATGCTGGCTCTACGGCTTGGAAACAGGGATGAGTACCACCCCCTAGAGTCGGACACGACTGGACTGGAGCCTCAGCTTCAGAGCTTCAGGATCTGTCAAGGGCAACTTTTACCTTTATCATACATGAAACTTGCAGGAACCATAGTCCCTACATATGAGAATTTTGCAGATTTTCAGACAGCTAAGGCTACAGAGGTTTTGTTGTTGTTTAGTCATTGTGTCTGACTCTTCGTGACCCCATGGACGAGAGCACGCCAGGCCCTCCTATCTTCCACTGCCTCCCGGAGTTTGGTCAAATTCATGTTGGTCGCTTCGATGACACTGTCCTACCATCTCGTTCTCTGTCGTCCCCTTCTCCTCTTGCCTTCACACTTTCCCAACATCAAGTTCTTTTCCAAGGAGTCTTCTCTTCTCATGAGATGGCCAAAGTACTGGAGCCTCAGCATCAGGATCTGTGCTTCCAGTGAGCACTCAGGGTTAATTTC